CAGATCCCAGGAACAACATCTGAGATCTCTGTTCAGAAGAGTGCAGTCCAAGGAACAGCTAAGATACTGCGCAGGACCCTCAAGGTCCCAGGCCTCTGGTAGAGGACCCGTGCTTGAAGGAAGGAATACAAGACCGCCCCAAAGTGGGGGGCTAGTGGGTAATTTTTTAAAAATGTATATATAAGAAAGTCACTTTCGGCTTTTCCCGCGTTAGGGGTCACCACAGCGAATCATCACACTGACAACTCGCGTGTTGACATTTGGCACGTGTTTTATGCCGGATGCCCTTCCTGGCACAACCCTATATATGTATGTATATATATATACAGTGGAACCTCAGTTTTTGTGATTAATCTGTTCGAAAAAGTCAGATGAAAACCGAATCGTACAAAAACTGAAGCAATATTTCCCATAAGAAATAATGTAAATCCAATTAATCCGTTCCAGACACCCAAAGATATTAACAAAAAATAAATTTTATAGAGAATAACTACATTTTTACATACAGAAAACAATGAGAAATAAATATAAATGACTAATGAAATGGATAAATGAACATTTAACATCACTTTTACCTTTATTGAAGACTCTTGTTGGTGTATGGAAGACAGCGAGGAGGGGAGAGGGAGGAGGAGAGGTTATTGTTTGGAAGGGGAATCCCCCTCAGTAAAGACTTTATGTATCAAGGCCCTATCTGGAGTTACTTCCCTTCACTCATTTCTTCCAGGAAATGATTGGCCGAGTCACACGGGCAGGCGGACGAGTTTGGTACGGACTAATGATGCTGAATCGACCAATCAACTATGCAAAAACTGAGTGGATGTACAAAAACTGGGACAAAATTTAGACGAAAACACACACACACACACACACACACAAAGGCCTCACTAACACCACTGACTTTGGTACGGAAAGTTGGGGGTTTGAATCCTGGTCAGGGCATGGTCAATATCCAGCCTGGGCCCTTAGGCAAGGCCCTTAATGCTAATGCGGAATTGAAGAAAGGGGTACCTAAGAAGTACAATTCACTGTCCATACCTGAGGCTTTAGAGACTGCCAAGCAAAGGCTCACAGCCCTGGCCACCCAGCTGAAGGGATACACCAGAGAAGTTGAAGCCAGGAGAATAAACCGAATGTTCTCCACTGAGCCATCCAAGGTGTACTCTCAGTGGCAGGGTAATAACATGACAGCAGACCCACCAAGGCTGGAGACTGAACAATTTTGGAAGAGCATATGGGAGAAGGAGGCATCACACAACAACAATGCCCAGTGGCTGGTGGACCTGAGAGCAGGCCACAGCAACCTCCCTGAGTAATCATCACAATGGCAGACATTCAAGAGAGGGTCTCAAGTATGAAGAGCTGGACAGCACCAGGCCCCGATATGATTCATGCCTACAGTACTGGTTAAAGAAGCTAACTTCACTCCATGAGTGCCTGGCAGGACAAATGAACTAGCTACTAATGGATGGAACCCACCCTGAGTGGTTAACTGAAGGCCGGACAGTCCTAATCCTGAAGGGAGCAGTACCATCCAACTACTGCCCAGTAATCTGCCTCTGCACAACATGGAAGCTCCTGTCAGGCATCATAG